AGTATTCCAAAGGTCGTAGGTTCGAATCCCGCCGTGGCCAGGCATATTTTTCAAGCCTGCCCGGTGTGGATATACACTCAGAGTAACATCACACAAACATCTTATTCACCTGAGTACATTACACCAACACAGCAGGTTTCATAAATATTAGATTACACTGATATCGAAGGAACTAGACTCAGTTCCGAAATATCGCTTACTCGAACCGTCCTGACCGCGTAGCTCAGTTGGAAGAGCATTGGGCCAGTATTCCAAAGGTCGTAGGTTCGAATCCCGCCGTGGCCAGGCATATTTTTCAAGCCTGCCCGGTGTGGATATACACTCAGAGTAACATCACACAAACATCTTATTCACCTGAGTACATTACACCAACACAGCAGATTTCATAAACATATGAGAACATTGCAAACAATACTGTATGAGAACCCCCACTGAAATATTTTCTTTATATCCGGTAAAAATAAATTTTGATGTTATTCTTCATATAAAAGTACCATATCTTCCATTAATAAAATAAAAAAAATAAAATTTCAAATTCACCTTTACCAAAAATGATCCACTCCATTAGAAAGAGCGCAAAAAGTAAATATGAGACATTTACTCCGAAGTAAAATGGTACGATAGTGCACTAGTGCAGCATAAATTATGCAAAGTCAGCAGTTTTGGGGAGTTTATCCAAAACTCAAAATAGAGTTAGAAAATCGCACTACTTTCAACTAATCAGTGAAATCCAGTGAACTCAGTCTATTTACCCCTGCTCCCGCGAGACTTCACTTTCTTTTACTGAGTGTTATCGTTCCAGGTAAAATAAAATAAATTGAGTTTACAGGTGAAATCATAATGAAGTGGATCTACTATGACTATATATGTTTATTCAGTATCTTGACTAAAATACAACATGTTTGATGACTTTGATCATGAACGAAATCAATATCGGCGATAGACTTCATCATGTTGACGTAGAATTACCGAAACTCTTAACAATATACACGTATATCACCCCAAATTCTAGTTATTTCTTTTGGATTCTACTCAGTCTATATGCATGTATAATGGTATACTTCGGTAATGGTAGATTTACAAAGCAAAAAATATTTTAACTCTCACTATATAGATTCACGCTTCATTAACAGTATTCTGGAAATATTTTATATCAATTCTTTTGGCCGCGAGCTTATGCTTGTTTTCTCTTCAAATACCAGTGAGCCTGGGCGTCAGAATTTGTCATGTAAGTACATCGTCATTGACTTAAAAGACATTGCAGCATTCTTTAATTCTTATTTGCTCCGTTCACAAGAAACTCATCAGAAGGCACAGGATTGGAAGAGCAAGGCATGCATTATTCTGATTTCTTTCCATATTCTACACCAAGACGTCGGCTCACGTAGTTCCAATATTCTTTTCTGATGCAATCAATATCCGTCGCCAGCGTTTTACATAACTATAAGAGAACAAAGTTTAAAAATTAAATTATTTCAGTTGATTTCTTCTGAAATGTGACCACCATTTAATTCGCTCATATATAAGCACATTTAATTATAACTGTTTCTTCTTTTCTGATATTATAGAAGGCTAGAGGCCTCCTCATAGAAACCAATAGAGGCCTTCATTTGGTTGGTTTGTTAGGTTGGTTGTTTGTTTTTGTCTGCTTGCATTTTGCTGTAAGTACACCTGATTCTCAAACGTAGGAGTCCAGTGCAGGTAGATAACATTTTGCCGTTGTTTGTTGATACACAAGCAGTGAGACCTATGACGTTGTATTATATGCTTTAATAGATCACGGCTCTCAACACTCTCTTCTCCGAAGAAGCTTTCTGGAAAGACGCTAAAAGACGTTAGATGGTCCTTTTCATCTCTACACTCAAAAGCGCAGAGAGCCTCTGCAGAGGAGATAAACTCTCAACCAATGATCCATGGATTCCATGGCATATTGCAGTCAGATTATCACACATGTTACGATGAAGTGCCGGTTTGTGTCTAAGCTACTGGTTTGTGTCGACTGAACTATCTGAAGAAGATTAAACTGAAATGTAGATGTCTCGAGCAAAGACCCTTCCTTAGGCGGTTGCTAACCAATCAACGTCGTTCCTTACCAGCTCTAGATGAAGGGCCTCAACATGGAAGGACCTTAAGATCGAAACGTACGTCGAAGTTTATTTTTTTTTTTATCTTTTTGTCAATTCATCAACCACATCAATTCCTTTTATCATGATGCGCATTTTACAGCATCCCTTAATTTCAGTCTTAGTCTATGGTTGTGCTGTATAACTAGTTTACACTATCAACATTTCTGTGTTCTGTGACCATTGAGTCAGTTCCCTGAAACATTTTTACAAATCCTTCAAAACTTAGAATTCCTACCGTGATCATTGAAACTTTGATAGTGTAAACCAGCCTTTAAACACGTCTACACAAGCCAGACGTCAATCTCCATTTACCTCTTGAGCTTTCGTAAGTGTCCCAATTGGTGCTGTTCCTTTCTCAAGATCCTCTTCATAAATATCAATAATAAAACTCAATAAGTAAGGTGAATCCATGCCATCCTCCAACCATCTCAATACAGTCTCACGTAGCTCCGTCTCACTACTTGCTTTGCCTTTATCTAGGATTCTATATAGAAGTAAACCAGGCGTAAGTGGCTTTTCACTAAATACCATCACAGGGAAAACTATTAAACACCATTAATGATAAATACAGTGTTGGAAAATGTCCAGCAACGCCAGCAGCACCGCTTCCAGGAAATTTTTAACAAAATATCTTGACAGGAAATCTTGTTACATCTTGCAGGAAATTTTTGTCATCTTATATACTGGAATGTCATATAATTTACTTAGGGGCCGATTACATGGAGCATTTTCAACCCCGGGGTTGAACTCAGCCCTGTTTACCGGGTTGAAATTTCAGCCCTGTCTGTAATACAAAACTCTATCAAAATCAAAATCAAACACGCGATTACATGACAAAATTTTCAACCCAGGGTTGAGTTCAACCCCGGGGTTGAAATTTCAACCCTGCTTCAGCGAGCGGGGTTGAAATTTCAACCCCAGGGTTGAACTCAGCCGTGGGTTGAAAATTTTGTCATGTAATCGTTTCAACCCAGGGCTGAAATTATCATGCGTTATTCGAGCATACGTGGTAGTGATTATTTATTACAAGAAAACAAAATAAAGGCTTTTTTCCTTCCGGGAATCGATGCCGAGAACGTATAGTATAGCGTTTCAACCCCGGGGTTGAAATCGTCCATGTAATCGCAAAAAATTTCAACCCGGTAAACAGAGCTGAGTTCAACCCCGGGGTTGAAAGTTCTCCATGTAATCGGCCCCTTGTATTGTTTACAAAAGCGTTTTGCAAGTCGAGATTGTCTTGTGCCGAAATTGAAGTTCATCACCCGCATACATTCTCTGAAGTCTACATGTGCAGGAAGTTTTTCTTTTCTTTTTTGATTTCGCTGCCAGGAAGAGAAATATATTTTCTAGGCCTGGGTAAATAATTTAAAAATATTTTCAAGCAAAATTTGCAGGCATGAAAATAGCTGCGACACTTCAAAAAGAATTCTTTAAAACATAAACACTATTCTACACAAACCCTGTAAGATAATTCCAAGCACTTTCATTATTAGGAACATCCCTGATCACTGCAATAAGATAACTAAAATAGCAAAGATAAAAATATGTAAAGGATACAAAAATCAAGTTAATGGCATGTTATTTCCTTGATATGTTATCTGATCTTACTGCGATTTACAGAATTCTTAATGAATGATTCCAGCTATACATGCAGGGTGTATCAAAATAAACGCAATTCATCTTTTGTGCTTAATAACTTTCGAAATACTATTTCTAGTTAAACGCTTTTAGGCTTACTTCAAAGCCTGTTCTTTTCTCTTTCAAACAAACTATTATCCTTGTCTCCAATGCTAGTAATAATTGCACAGGAAAAGATTTAGTAAACCTATCATTTTTAGTTGCTGTTTAATTATGCAAGTTTACTATGTTATTGTTTAGTCGGTTTAAATGTTAGAATTTTCTTCTTTAAACTTTAATGTTTTCGTCACTACATCTGGAAAACCACGTAAGAACAAATTAAAAGTATTTTAAAAGAGACCAGGTTGTTTGAAAATTCTAAACGAATGCTAAAAATCGTCAAAACATTCTGGTGTCTGAGCCAGAGTGTCATCGAATTGCGATGTAATGTAAACAGAAATTATAGCAAGTTGATGTCAGTCAGCTTAGATGGTCCAAGCCAAAATTATATCGCATTTGAAGTTTAAAACTGAGTTAAAAATAGTGGAAGAAAAGCCGTAATTATACTTGTTACAATCCATTTAATAAAATGCATCATTTTTTTGTTTTAATGAAAAAATCTCCAATTTTTTAATCTCCAATCGCAATAACGTAAAGTATTATTAGCCGCGAACCAATGAGTCAAATTTAAGAAACAACCCACTGTTAGAAAGCTGAATGGCTACGCTTTAAAATGAATGTAAACCTTAACGTTTTCGTCTATTCTTTGTTTAGCAATTTACATTTCAGTCGAGGATTGCGCTTTTTTTGATACACCCTGTAGACTAAATTTTGATCTAGGCAAGACGAACAAAATCCATCACCACAGCCTAGAAAGAGCGTGTTAAAATTAGCAACGTTTGCAAAGTTTGGTTGTGAAATGTTGTAAAATATGAGGAACATAAAGCCCTGTGAAGTTCGCAAATTTTGTATATATTTGCATTATGCGCGGGAAAAATAACCATTTTTTAGCTGAAAGTGGTTATTTTTACCGCGCGTAATACAAATATATACAAAATTTGTAAACTTCACAGGGCTATATTTTCTTCATTTTACAACATTTAGCAACCAATCTTTGCAGTTTTACCCATTCTAAGATGCTGTTTGCAGCCATGGTAATGGATTTCGTTCTTGCCTTGATCAAAATTTAGTCTATATAGCTGGAATCACACATTAACCTGGTCAACTTCTATTTTTATACTGGGGGACTCATTGAGATACCAGGTAATTTTTTCCACTGGGCCTCCAGTTTTTTGAGGAAATGGCCCCCTTAAGTGTATTATTTTCTGGCATTATACAAACATCAGAGTAATTAATCTGTGCTTAAGCCTTAACTCACTTAATTTCTCTTTTCAAGACCTCATCAGTGTAGCCAGTTGTATGTGTGATGACAAAATATCTCTGATTCCAAGCAGAGTTATTTCTAATGTCATCAGCTAGCAGTTTGTTCACATATTCCAGCTCATCATCAAATAGTTTAAATTCTTTAATGACCCACTGTCTGTGTTGCCATGTGTGGTAGTTCTTAGCATCAAGGTCTAGGATTGACGCCGAGAAATCTAATTCAAGTGATGGATCTTTTAACCAACCAACAACAACCTTTCTGTGATACCTGCAATAGTTAAGTATTACTTTATATACACCCATTGCATGAAATATAAAGTCCAAGTACTACATTTTACATTATTTTAAGATCTTTTTTACTTCTCTTACCAAACTTGATAATTTTTTGGGTGTTGATTAATAACAGTTGATATAAAGTCCAGTTCTTCTTTCAGATCTTTGCTAAGAGTTTGCAACAACAACCTTCTATAATACCTAGAAAATATGACATGGTTGTGGAAATTACATATTTCATTATTTCTTCACTTATGTATACATTTCAATAATATTTCCTCTCTAAATGGTATACTCTCACTGCTAAGTGCCAAGTACTGCCAACAGGGGCGTAACTCCTGGGGGGGGAGGGAGGATATGTAATTCACCCAAAATTTTACATAATTTGATAATTGCAAGAAAATTTTGATAAACTTACGAAAATATTACTGAAAAATTGTACACATTTCGGTTATGGTATGTCCGAAAATTGTCTCCCCTCCTGAAATTTCCGTCAGGCACGACTTCTGCCACACCCTTTTGGTTGGGCAAAACAGCTCATACCCCCAGCTGTAATACCCCCAAGTTACGCCCCTGACTGCCAACAACAAAGTCCCTTAAACTTTCTTGATACAAGAATGCTCAAACAAGAATATAAATCCTAGCTGTACCAGTGCTGGATAATATGCAATAAAGCACAATATATTGCACAGCACAGCTTCTCCTGTTTTACAATTATGACATCATAGGGCCCCCGGGAATGTTTTGCATCAGGCCCCGCACATCTTGGTAGCTCACACACAAATAAGTACTATAGTTAAATGATGGCTTATTAGCAAGGCTTCCAGAAGCTGATGATTTAATGGATGTGCAATGCGTCTCACTAGTGCATCAAAAGTGGGCACACCCATAGATGTATGAAAGGGGAAATGGGAAAGACAGCTAGTGGGGTCAATTTTTACTCAAGGGTTGGGTAATTGGATGACATGCATTTGGTAATTGCACAATCAATAATACATTATATCCTTCTATAAATGAAAGCATGTAAGATGTGAATCGTTAGACTTGGGCTATTTCTCTTTTCATTGTAAAAACTGATGTGATCAATCATCCCCTCAGATTTTTTTACCCCCCCCCCTGTATGAAATGAGACTTTTTGTGCGCCAAATACTAATAAATATATTGCTGTACTACTGGCTGTGTGCCAGACATGTCTGGTGCAGAGCACTCACATTCCATACTGCCCCCCCCCCTATCTTCCTACAGCTATGCAACTCACAGTCAAAAATTTTCTTACCAAACAGTATAGTTTGCAGGATTCAGGTGTACTGCATCACCAGTTAATTCCAAAGCTCTTTCACTTTTCTCCTCTAATTTCAATATTGCACGAAAATAATCATACACATCTTTGACTATTAAAACGAAATGAAATCAACTTTTAGGTTTTGGTTATACATAAAATAATTCATGAGACATCTGAAAACCACCAGAACTTTTCGTCTGAAATGTTGTTGCAGTGATAAAAATTTTGTCCAGATGACTGGAACTGTCCGGAAACTGGGCAACACATAATTTTACTATAAACTTCCTACGTTATCAAGCAAACACGAACTTACATTTGTCGGTATAAGCAATGGCAACAACAGGAAAAGGCCCATCGTCTTGTTCAATGGGTGTTACATCCCTCCATTCCTCTCGATCGCGATAAAATACCCAGTTATCCAATTCATCTTCAGAACTGTCAGACGCCATTTTGGATTTCTTAAAACTTCGAGACCGCGATTCAAGTGGTCACCAAACTCATTAGCTATTCAGAGTTATTCATTAATTAGCAAAATAATTAATTAGCAATAATTAACAATTATAAATAATGATAGCTAAGATATTTACCTTAATTTGTTCGTTCTAACTTGTTCGTTGTAAAAAGTAAAATAACAATATGTAAGTTAGATAAATGCATGAATTAGGCATGCGTGATAGGCATTGGTGCCAAAAAATGAAACTTTCAGCACCTATTTAACCATATAAGTGGCAATGCACCAATTTTAGTAATTTACTCTGTCTAACGCCAGACGATTTTACTCGTCAAGTGGACTTAAAATTGAGTAGGTTTTCTGATATTTGAACCATTGATAAAACACATAACAAATTTTTGTTTATTCTACATTATATAAGTGCCCAAACAATCTATATTTATCAAAAATTTCATGAAATGAACGGAGCCGTTTCAAAATTGTCTACTTTTTTATACTGCCTGTAAAGTGTTTTATGAGAGTTTTCTCAACTCTCATGCCTCAGTTAAACCATGGATAATAAAATAAATGGATAGGAAACTAGCTGACGTGACCTAATGTTTTTACTGGGATTGATGGCGTGGTCGGATGCCTCAACCTAGTTGAAAATCAAATTCTCAAAAACGGCATGTTTAGCAATAATACAGCTAAACATTTTAGTCAAAGAGCAAATAAATGTAACCACGCCATTCTACGATGAAAACTCTAAGTATTCCCAGTCAATTTTAGCAAATATTTCAAGCACTAAACAGTGAAAAATACATCACAAATTTCGTTAAAATTTGTGACGCCAATTTCGTAGCTACAAATGTGAAAAAATACAAAACAAAGACGAAAAACATTTACCTTGAATACCTTGTCGTGGCTTAGGCATGTTTTTAAAACAATTAGACCAGTTTATGCTTCAATATCACCCTTTTAAAGTGGAAAATATAGCAAAACAACAAAAATGCCGAGAACTTTGGTAATATTTGCAATACGCGTGACGTCACGTTTTTCAACAAGGATGCAGTCAATGACGTCAGAAGTTTCCAATCCATTTATTTTATTATCCATGGTTAAACGAGAACAAGTGTTGCATGAGAGTTGATGGGAGTCATGGGAGTTGACTGGATATCACCCCTCTAGTAGCGAAAACTCTTATCAACTCTCATCACAATTTGTATCAAGCTAAATCATCGCACAATTTAATCAACGCTTGCCGCTTGGACTTCGAGACACTGTACAATGTATTAAATTAGACAAAGAAAGAAATCAGAATAGTACAGTACATAATAATGAAATATTTTCAAAAGTTTTCTACAGTAAAGTTTACGATTTTTTCCCTTCTGTTTTCTTCTTTAAGTTCTCTAGATCAAAGACGTATAATTCTTCAACTACTAAGAGTATAAAACTACAATTTCCACTGCAAACTACATTATTGGAGTTTTTAAAAATTTTCCAGGGAAGGTTCTCAAATCATTTCACAGGTTCAACTGTCATCATACGAGGCGAGATTGACATGGACATAAGTTCTTGGTAAAGTAATTTTGCTGCATAAGGAATTCGGATACGTGAAATCTAGAGAAATAGAATAAATCTGTGTTAGCACTATAGCATAGTTCAGTTGCAGGCTCGAAAAACCTAGGGCTAGGGCGCAAAAAACTACGGGATATATTTGGATAATATTTCGAACATGGGGATCCAGTGCCTTCGTTTTGGTAGTAATTCTTAACCACCCAAATGAGAAAACTTCGGGCATAATTTTCTTTATCTTTTTCGGTTAGTTCAGATGAAAATCACGACAGCTTATATATTGCAGAATGATGCTACACTGCACGACAGGTTTGAGATATCTTTGTCAGGACCAGGTAGTTCAGACACAAACCACGGCAGGTTATTGTAGAATATAAACAAGCTTTCGTTGGCAGGGATGCAACTACCTGAACAATATAAGGAGAATTTCGACGTTTCGAGCGAAGGCCCTTCGTCTGGAATACAACCTGCACTGGATCCCACGTTTGAGATATTTTTCTCACAAACCACGGCAGCTTATTGTAGCATACTATACTTACATTGGACCCCACGTTTGAGATCTCTTTTTCAGGCAGTTCAGCCCCAAACCATGGTAGATTATTGTACAATATATACTACTTACGCTGGACACGGTAGTAACTTCCAGATAAATGAAGAGCATTTTTTTGCTCAAAACGTTAACGTTCTCTTTCTTTGAGATAGAAATTACGACAAAAACGAAGACTGCAGCTTATCACTGAATACGTACTTCTTACTGCAGAAGCTTATATAGTAAGAATTGAACCTACCTGAGTCTTATTCTTACATCCACGACATTCATAAGTATTATTCCTGAGGTTAGCAATAGCAATAAGACCACAGAGATCACAGACATGACAACTGTACGCGTCAGAACATTCAAATAAACGTTCGTTAAGAAACTGAGCTGCACCATGTGAGATTTGGCAATCACGTTCCATTTCACCAAAACGCAATCCACCATCGCTGAAATATTAAATAACCATTGTGAAACTCATTACTAATTCATGAAGAAAACACAAAAGAAATCATGAGCGTGAAGGAGTTTTTACATCTGACACAAAATCATGCTGATTTACATAAACTTTAATTTCAATTTTCTCACCAAATATCATTAATTTATTTTAAATTGTCGAAGAATACGAATGTTTTCATCAAGACGTTTCACAAGCCATTTACTTCGGCTCGAGTCTGTATATCCGATACAACACGACGGCCGCTTATGTTGTAAATAGTACTTATAACCAAACAACTACCTTACTAGATAGCTCTATCAGTTCTACACTGTTCTCCCTAGAAGTCCAATAAAGGTCAACCCTTAATATTCCAGTGTTATTACACGAGGAAATGTACATCAAAAACTAAATTATATTTATACGAGATAGCTCGATCAGTTTTAAATTATTTGAGGTCCAGTAAGGATCATTCCTTGATTGTCCAAACGTTACTACGGGAGAAAACATAAACAAACTAATTTTATCAATATTGGATGACTCTGTCAGTTCTAAACACTCTCCCAGTGTTACTACGGCAGGGAACCAGAGCGTCACCTGATGTGTTGGTTGGGATAAACAGGCATTGAAAAGCACTCTTCCCATATGCCAATGACACGAAATATTATCCAATCATACAGTACTAGGATTGAAAGGATTAGCTTACGGCTAGAAATCGCTTTACGGAGAATGTCAATACGGGAATTCGTAACATAAATATTACACGAAGTATCTACCGTGATCTGCCCTCCATAGGCTGTCTGGTAAGTATCTGAATAGGTCCTCTCGCACGAGAGTGAATCTTGTCATCCACCATGTGTTTAAGACGTTGATAATAAGTAGGGCCAATAAATACTTGAGCATTTAGTTTGCGACCAGTAAAACCATTATAAAGAACCTGCAAACACAAAACTGGGTTTCAGTATGTCCTATAAACTGGCCAACTTCAAATCATGTTAAGACTTACTGCCACCAAACACAAGGTCAATGCATATACTGAACAATTTTGTCTTTCTGATAATTGTTGCCGATTGTATTGGTGGTATACTGTAGTGTATTTTAGATGGATTTACTTATACTTGAAACTCGGCTGAAAGTAACTGAAAACACTTTTAAAAGGCTCTGGATGGTTCTGGCAAAATTATATGTGTATTACACGCGTAAAAATTATGAGCCTGCTGTTTACCAGGATTGAACAATGTTTTGCTGCCCACGTTGTCCACACTTGTCAACAATATTGAACAATATTGTTGAGCATGAATCGAGTGTAACAAGTTGTTCAATATTGTTGACAACTGTGAACAATGTGGGCAGCAAAACATTGTTCAATCCTGTTTTCATCAACTATTGCAACAACCTGATCGTTTCTAGCCGTGTAGGGGAATGCATGTCCCCCCCCCCCCCCCCCCCCCCCCCCCCCCCCCCCCCCCCC